ATTGAGTCCCAGCATAAAAACGTAATGGCGTTCACTACACTTAAAAATGCCTCTGCCATGTGTGTATATGATGCAGCTCTTACTTTTTTCGAGAATTGTAATGAAATGCAGCAGTTTTAGAAGAAGCAAACGAAACTGAAAAAAATTACACATTCTCATCCATGGTGTGCATGTTTGCCTTGCCCACAGTAATTCAGTGTGCCATTCAGTCATTCTACCCACTCACCAATGATACTATAGCGAAAGAAAATTGGGATTCCTAGGATTCAATTGTACAATACAGTATATCTACGGGATTATCCTGATGGCAGTGCAATTAAATATGTCCATATCTTTCATTGTGCTGCGATGCCACCGTCTTATTTGGTTGATGGAAGAATTCTATCTACCAAAAATCATTTTGTTACCTTGTGCAAACCAGTTAAAGCACTTCAGCCATAAGACCATTATTTTAAAGCACACCTTCCAACCTTATTGAAGTCTGCGATGCCAGTTCATCCTAAAGTTCCTCCTACAGTTTCTCCTAAAGTTTCTACTAAAGTTTCTTCTGCTCCTTCCTCTACACAAGTGACTACATTTACTAAAAAGCAGACGACTGGTCCAAAAAGAAAACAAATTAGCTTAGATCGGTGCGCTTCTTGTGAAACGAGCGTGCAACACACAAGAGACTGTAGTCAGTGAAATCAAATTTCCCAGCACTAGTAAAGGAATTTCATCTGTAACTCCCAACACTGGTCCTACTTCAGAAAAATCTAACACCAAAACACAACGAACTTCCACCAATTCGTGGCCAGATGATATCTACAACTACGTAAATCTGGTGTCCAGTCTTCCTAATTCGAAAAAGTACGAAATTCTGTGCAATCATTGCCATTGGAAACCTGGTTCTGATTTTTCTTTTCCTCCACGCGAAAATATTGGTAGACGTTTCCGGTTGGCATGGTTATCACGATTTCCATGGTTGGCTTACTCTGCTGTGGCAAACGGTGGTTTTTGCGTCACTTGTGTTTTTTTTGGCAGTGAAAGCACGCATAATGCAAGCGAGCTCCAACTATTGATGACCAGTGCTCTTCCTCCAAGTGCTTCTGCTGTCCAGAAACTATGTCAGTATGGTGAAAAATCCAATGTTCACGCAACGGCAACTCTCCGTGCTACACAGTTTAAGCGAATGATCGAGAATAAGACACTTGGTATCGATGCATGTGCAGCTGAAAAAAAACACCCCGTAAAAGACCTGCGTTGCAACTGAAACGCCAAGATGATTGAGTTCGATGTACAACCCTAATTGGATATTTTTTGCTACGAAGAACCTGAAATACACAGGAACAGTACATGCGGTACAGAGTTGTGGTTTTATGTAAGTACAGTGATTTTGTAACATTCTAATGTTGTAACGTTGAAGAACATGGTATGTTGTTTAAATATTTGACTTATTTCGTTATTTGCTCTCTAAAATATGGCGTAATTAATGACGAATTATATGATAGAATTCGATGCTCAGAACTCAGGAAATGGCATTTCCGGGGTTCAAATTTCAAAAATTTTCCGGGGGGGAATGCCCCCGGACCCCCCTAATTATTGACGGTTTTGGAGTGCGCCACGGTCAGGGTTTAGGCTGGATCCGCGCCTGATCTTGGTACCGCTTAAAGAAGTTTGTGGCATGGATGCTGCGCTACAGACGTGTATTGCGTAAAGCCTGCGAGAAATGTTCTTCAAATGGACACGAACGAAAGCAAACACGTATCAAGCCACTAACGGTTGAAGAGTTGCGCGAAGCCGAGCTGGAAATCATCAAGATTGTCCAAAAACGAAGGTTTACTGAAGAGATTGCGGTGATGCTACGGAATTTAAATTCAGCTACTAATGCGAATGTCATGCCAAAAACAGTCAAATGATCCAGTCCGTTCTACAAGCTTGATCCAGTGTCCTCAGGGTTGGAGGACGATTGAGAAATTCCTTGGTTTCGGAAGGAGCGAAGCATCCGTTGATATTACCCGGCAATCATCAGGTTGTGACTCTGATCGTTGAATATTATCACGATCTTTCTGGTCATTCCGGTTTGGAACACGTTCTCGCGATGCTAAGAGAGAGATTTTGGATAATCAGAGCTCGGGTTCTGATCAAGAGCCTTATTAAAAATTAAAGGTGCTTTGATTACAAGAAGAGACAAGCACCCGTAGGAGAGCAAATGATGGCAGATTTGCCAGTGGATCGTGTCACAGCTGGGAAACTGCCATTCACCAACGTTGGTATTGATTGCTTTGGCCCTTTCACGGTCAAGAGGGGCAGAAGCAATGTAAAGAGATACGGAGTCATATTTACCTGCCTGGCAATACGGGCAGTGCATATCAAAGTCGCGAATAGTTTGGACACGGATTCGTTTCTGAACGCGTTGAGGAGATTCGTGGCAAGGCGTGGCCAGCCAGAAGAAATTAGATCGGACAACGGCACGAATTTTGTCGGTGGAAATCAGGAGCTTCAAAGGGCGATAAAGGCGTGGAATCAAGACAAGATCAACGGTTTCTTGACACAAAGAAACGTAAAGTGGGTTTTCAACCCACCTAAAGCGTCTCATCACGGTGTCGTATGGGAGCGGTGTATTCGGACCGTACGAAAGGTGCTGAATGCTTTGATGAAGGAACAAGTCCTGAACGACGAGCGACTAACAACCCTCCTGTGCGAGGTCGAAGGAATTGTGAATAATCGGCCGATCACGAAAGTCTCGGACGACCCCAAGGATCTCGAAGCCCTTACACCCAACCACCTCTTGTTGCTTCGAAAGGGATCCGAGTGTCCACCCGGTGTGTTTACGAATGGCGACCTTTACTCACGTCGGAAATGGAGACAAGTTCAATACCTGGCGGATATCTTTTGGAAGCGATGGACGAAAGAATATTTACCATGTTTGCATGAACGGCAGCTATGGTCCAAGATCCAAAGAAACTTCTCTGTCGGGGATATTGTGCTAGTAACTGACTAAAGTTCACCTCGGAATACGTGGCCGTTGGGTAAAGTGTTGATGTTCGGCGGAACAGTAAAGACGGTCTCGTGCGAAGCGTTACAGTGAAGACGAAGAATACGACTTTGGATCGTCCGGTGACAAAGATTTTTCTACTGGAAACCGTCGAGCAAGTTGAAGAAGGAAGAATATAATAACCGCTTAATCTATCATTTTTGCCTTATATATATAGTTTGTTAGTTAAAGTCCAATCCTTCTGTTTGTTTAAATGCTCATAATTCATACCTTCACATTTAGGAGCCCGTATGTAGGATTGGAACTGTCAATTTGTGTTTTATTAGTAATGACAACTGTGCGTATCATAGGAAATTTACGGTCGACTATCCTTATGATGTAGTTAATTACGTTTTTGCATGGAAAAAGCACGCTTAGCCCCAGAACTCGGAAGTATAGTTTGAGACACTCGTAAAGAGAGGACAGCCAGAGAGAGAGAGATAATTTACGTCGAAAGTTAAAGAGCTACTGGGGAAACATCTGTAAGTGACAATTCATTTGTATATTGTAGTTTATTGTTTAGTTGCGTTAGTGCTAGGTTAAGTATTTAGTATTAATTTAGGTTTATATTCATTTCTATTTAATCGAACCACGTTTCACGTTACACGTTATAGTTTCGCGTTTATATTACAAGTTTGGTTATTATACGATTACATTCGAGTTTGTGATCTATTTATTTCGTTACCGTTGGCAAATTGGTAATCTGAACGACCCTTTTCTACGTGCGTTTGAACTGTTTTCCTAACGTTACCTCAATATCGGTCTCAAACTGTGCTCATAGTGAGGTGGCTTAACACATTTAACGTTACTGGCTGGACAAAAGTACCAAATTTGGCATGGAGTTTCTTTTCGACCTATCTATTGATTTTATCCGTGGAACCCACTTGATCGGTTCCGATTTTCCAAGATGGCGGCGAAAATCCAAGATGGCCGCCAGAAAAAAAGGAAATGTCATATATCTGACTGTAAACATCATAACTGAATAAACGAGGTGTCAATTCAGGGGTTTCCGGGGTCAATGAAACAGACGCTTGTCATGGAATGTTGCTCAGACCAACAGTTTCCAAGATGGCGGCCAAATTTCAAAATGGCCGGCAAAAAAAGGAAATTTCGTATATGTGGTGTGAAAATAAAAAATGAACAAAGATAATGTCCGAAAAAGGCTTACTTGGCCTGATTTTGAATGGTTATTGTGACTTCTATAGCTAGATGTCAGCCTACATCTTAAGTACATACTGGTAGTATTCAGGAAATATATCTACAATGTTTCAATACAATGTATCTCTACCAGACAGTTCACAGTCGATGTATCCTATTTAGATGAACATGTGCACCGACAAAGGGATGTGCAAAGCAGATTTGCCTTGCTGCATTTGCAGACTGTACAGGCCCTTTTGTAGCCACATTTCATGAATTCTCTCCACGCTTTAGACGCCTCTGGAATGGTAGACCAGACAGGTTCCCATGAGTTCCCAACTTCACCCACGCATATGCGGTTGGATAACATGGATGTTGTCCAGATGCCAGCCTGGTATACTGCCCCTAGTGTGCTGGAGTAGTGCATTCTGAGTAGGTGGTATCTTGTCAACAGCTTGGCTTTTCTGGCTGAGCAGCTCCATCCGGGCTCTGTTAACATTCATGGCGTTACTTGTTTAATTTGTCATGAACTACGACAACTAGTCTCGATTCTTTGAAATGATTCAAAATGTAAGTCAAGATGCTCAAACGGATGTGTGGCAAGATGAACAAGGCATCAGTAATTTCCTCATAAGTATTCCATGCCTGCCAGAACGATTTCTTCCCTTTGCCTCTTAAACGCTGATGTAGTAACACATCCTGACAAGGAGTGGAAAACGGTTCAGTCACGCTCGCCAAGTACGTACAATGGAAATGCCCAGATCTCTATGGCGAGAAAGTCTATGTAGCTATGATGGGCAGACTGCACATTGAAAGGCGCTATGGAACACTGTTGGCGATTTATTCTAAGATGACTCAGTTTGGACAACAGCTCTCACTGAATCTGAAGTTGCTTCATCTGGAACAGTTGATTCATTGCTGAAAGTATCACACGATACCAGGACTCGGCATGCCAATAAGGTCACTGTTCTTGTTCTTCAGAGGCTACTGAATGAAGCATTCAACCAGAGATCTAATGTTGATGAGAGTTTGAGCAACTGGCTGGAACAAATGTATAAGAAATTTCCCACGTTCAAGTTCTGGAACATGATCGCACACTATGAGATTCTGATTCTCATATTTGTTAGAGCCCATAGGGAGAGAAACCTCCCATTGCATGTTACTGTATTAGAGGTACTCGTACCATTGTTCTTTGTGTTAGACCACGTGAACTATTCTCGGTGGCTGCCTGTGCACATCAGAGACATGAAGGCGCTGCCACAAGATATCAAAGATGAAACTCGGAATCACTGCACAATCGCAAAGTCGTTACACAGATACTCTGCGATCCCAATCGACCAAGCGCATGAGCAGGAGAATAAAGTGGTGAAAGCATCCGGTGGTGCAGTAGGACTAACTAAGAATCCAGTTGCCTTCAGACGCTGGATGACCGCTGAACTCGAGCTTGCCAGACCTCTGAGACAGTACGAGAACGGATATCTTCATGACGATGATCCGCAAAACCCCGCTAACTTCGAACACCACGAACAGGGACTTGCAGCACAGAAATCCTTCCAGCGACAGGTTCATAGCCTATCTAACACAATACGCAAGATTGGAAATCCCTTTCTGGATGACTTCCCAGAGTTGGTAACTCTTGATAGTCGTAACTGCGCAAATGAGGCGGTAGTGAATACAATCCGTACACTGGAAGACACGGGCACAAAGAAGGATCAAGAGTATGTGAAGACCGTGCTCGTGGATCGGAGTCACTCCATACATGATACGATCTCAAAGAATTCACTACCCCTGTTCTCAACAAAGCTCAAAGTCAGAAATGCTGATCTTGAATTCCGGGTAGCATTTGGAAGAGGAAAGAACTACACTCATTACAGCATCAACGCCATTTGTGCCCATCTTGGTGAACGTAAATCACGTTCCCTGCCCGTTTTCACTCCTTGTCAGGTTGTGATACTACATCAGCGTGTAGAGGGAAAGGGAAGAAATCGTTCTGGCAGGCATGGAATGCTTATGAGCGTCTTGACATACATTCTGAATCACTTCAAAGAATCGAGAGACTAGTTGTCGTAGATTATGACAAATTAAACAAGTAACGCCATGAATGTTAACAGTGCCCGGATGGAGCTGTTCAGGCAGAAAAGCCAATAGGCCGTTTGCTGTGGCCTTGAAAAGTGCCTAGAAAACGATTTTCGTAGTGCATGTCTTGGAACTGAAATA